CCTGCTACTATAACTGCACATACGCATAAGACCACATCAGGATAACGCTTTGAAAACATATTTCTGAAATAAAACTTGATAAAAGCTGTGTTCAAATATTTAAAGATCCTTGGAAAAATTTGACATTTTCTGATTATGGTTAACCCAAACACACGCCTAGGAAGCAACAAATTTATGGTTTTATTTTCGTTTTGTATCTGTTAACCAATCAGTTGACTCTTTATTCATAATAATTCCTTATGTTGTGCTTTGTAGATAGCTGTTTTTCATTTCGACGATTTTTGTGGGTTTTTTTTGGGTTTTTTTTTTTTTTGCCATGTGATAGTTGTTTTCTTTTATTAAGTATTTAACATTTTTGATTGTCACTCTGGTATGTTTCGCCTATTTTAATAGATAATTGGGTAGTAATTACTTACCAGTGACTGCAAGTACTCTCAGGCATCATAATGCCAAATTTCCTTTGTACGTTTCAAACTGTCTCTTTAAGGATCGAACTTTTATTTTCAAAATAAGGCAGAAACATTTTGGTCCATATTAATTTGGCTATTCTGCTTTGAAAAACCTACAAAATATCCTAGGGTTGCTGGTTAGGAATATATAAGCTCTGAGAAGCTTTCTATTTCTTCTTGTCGAAAGTATCCCAGATATCAACTTAAAAACTTCAGAATTTGGTAGAAATTGATTTTTTTTTTGTGTTTACGCAAATTTCGTTGTGTTGACATTGTTATTTAATTGATCAAATACTTTTGTAGAAGCTCTTTTCTTGGAATCAATCGACCCAAGAACGGACTCCTGTACTTGAAAAGCATATACACATTAAAACAAGAAGATGTAGTATGATTCCCTATGACACATCTTTCAACCAGGGACCAAATGACGCAAAAAAACTATCAACTTTAGGTCACCGCACGACCTTCAATAACTTTTCTCGTTATCGTTATTGAAGGTCGTGCGGTGACCTAAAGTTGATATTCTTTTTTACAGCATATATATAACAAATGCAAAACAATTCAAACGAAAAAAATTAAAGGCCTGATTTATGTACAAAACAATGAATAGAAAACAACTATAATATGCAGCAACAAACTACAACCAATAAATTACATATACCTGAGGACAGACACTTACGTTACATGGCGTATTCCAACATGTTTGCTGGTGCCAAACCCTCCCCGAACCTAGGACAGTGTCGTAACAAACAAAATAAGAACAAACTATAAAAATCGGCTGAAAAAGGCTTGCCTCATTAGATCGAGAAGTTTATACGGATCGTATCTAAATGTACGGTATCCATAAACAACATTACCGTAATGATGTGATATCCCGTTTGAATTAAGGTACAGACAAAATATTTGTATCTGTGAAAAACTTTAGTAAGGTGGTTTTAGAGGGTAGATCTAGAGTATGGGAGACAACTCTAACAAAGGTATTGGAGGTCATTTGTGCATTTTAACCTAGCAGTTATTGAAATAGTGATCAAGCATTTATGTTGTTTACATTTGATTATGAGAATGATGATTGAATTTAGCGTCTGCTGGCAGGGGAATTTTATAGTCTTGGGGAGAGAAACCAACATTACGTAGTATAATGTAGATATGTCAATTCGTCCCATAGGAAATCGTCCCATACTGAATTTTGCAGCTTTTCGTTATACATGTTATAAGCTTGACTACAGTTATTATTGGGACCATACAATCAAACGGTCAAACTCAATAAATATGTGTGATTTTCAAGAATTAGAAACAATTATATGTTTGAGCATTTTTTTGCAGGAATTAAACGATATTTTTTTTCTGGAAAAAGTTTGAAAATTGATGTATAATTTGAGCTGGCCAGAATTTTTGACTTATTCAATAATTTTATTTAAACAATTTATTTACATTCAGGGTACAAATACTACCATGTTATTTAAGATTTACTTTAAGATATGTTTCTATTACTCATTTTAAACGTCATTGGTATTCCTAATGAAAACATGTGTACATTATAAATAGTGTTTTAACCGTTTTTTAAGGTATCCCAAAACTGGTCATATTCAATATACCCTAAACATAAAATGCAACCGTAAAATTCAACAAGACTTTGGCAAATGATACATGGACGCCTACTCTTTCAATGTTGTAAATATAAGAAAAATTAAACCATTGGAAAATTTTGGTTTTACCAAGGCCTCCCCCTAAAGTTATTTGTGGTAACGAAATCCTTGCCTTAATAATTTACCATTGATACATAAATTACTTTGAAATCTAAAACAAGACTACAGACATGGGCATATCGAACGAGTTTGGATATAAAAAAACCGTAAGGTGGAGTTAAAGTTACATTACCGCCCAAAAAAGGAAAATGAACAATAGGGAACGACAAATCGTCTCTTTTGTCGTAATTTTTTGTAAAGTGTTTCCCGTGTTCCTGCATTTTCCTCGTGGGATTGTGTACTGAGGCAAATACATATGTTGTTGGTTTACATTGACTGAACTGTTTTTATTTCATGATCAGCTAGTACTTTCATTTTCCATGGAATATAATCTGCTTTGAGGGTTATGTTAATGTATTGCTAATTGTATTAGACGCCAAATCTGATAAAAAAAGTTTAACTTGAATACTGAACTGCTCTTGAGTTGTCGCATTTCGCTTACAATTTTGGTTTGTTATTGTGGTAGGAAATGTTTTACTGTTCGAACACAACTTTAAATTTATGTTTTGTTTCAGCTTTCAGACAGACTTATTCCCTAGAAAACTCTGATTGTTCATATACCCCACAAACATCGTTTTAAAGCATCAGTTTTTGTGGCCGTTGCTTGACACTGGTTTAATAATCTTTCTTTGGTAGTGTATGATATTTCTAACCACCATTGCATTTTATCTTGTAGGTGTTGTTTAAATATGATTTTCTGACTGCAACTTTTAGTTGAGGGTTTTCGGGAATTCAGAAGTGGTATTTTGATAGGCTAAATAAATAGGAGTGCATAATGAGGAAGGCTCAATTATACGCAAGAAGCTATAATTCTTAAAGATAAAACATGTTAAACTCCTTTCCATTGGTATCTGAGGAAACAACATTAGCGATTTGGTGTTAGAAACTTTACCTTTCGTTACATAAGAGAAATAACTTCATACATTTTTTTATTTTGTTGGCGTCTGTTTAACCGATATCTTAAAACCACTGTCTGCTAAGTTTTATTTCAATAAATTGCAAACTGTGAAGTAATGTGTTTGCTGGTTTTTTTTTTTACCTAAATGTGAGCCATGTGGTTCTTATTTAGGATCAGGCAAACTTTTTGCTAATAGTTAATTTTTCTTAGTAGTTTCTTTCACTTTAGCATCAAACTGTTAACATAAAATTCCATCTGTCGTCAATTGTAAAATTATGATAGTGTTTGCATTGTTTCTAAATCCATTCAAACCTGTTTGCCGACTGGAAACGCACCATTTGCTGAAAAGCTCGTGCTCTCGTCGTCTAAAAAAATCAATAACAAGGCAAAACTTTCCCTTACATTTTGTTTTGTAATGTGTACATTTGGACTACTAGTATCTGATTGCAAACTGTCTAACAAATTGCAAGATACTTGTAAATAAAAGTTGAAATAAGACCTATTTTGGAAGCTTATTGTGCGTTATGAGCTAGCCTTTTAGGTGATTTTATTTTTATCAAACAAAATTCGGATGCGACCAAAAGCGTTTTTCCTTTTTATTCTATTGTTAAACTGTATTATTTATTTTCGGCTCACAAAAAAAAATCATATGACAACTTACATCTATTTGGAAACTTTCTTATAATATTTCCTGTAATTGTAACTTCTTTTCGAGTCTTTGAACTCAATGAACCACGTTATACATCATTCTAGTTTGGCTATAAAATTGATCCTGTCTTTTCACTTCATCTAGAAGTAAAGTTATAAAGAACAAATTGTCGCAAAGTATATAGTACACAATCCTATCCTGTTTATCTTGCTTCTCGGTTTCATCTGATTTCTCTTTTACGTGGCCAAATATTTCTGGAACCGTGTTCACCATATCTCATTAAAACTGATATATTGTCACATTCATAGACATCGTCAAGTTTTCTAGAATGATCAGATTCATCTGCACTGAATACAATATTGTGTCTGAGGATTTGTTAACAATAAAACATTAAATAATATTTTGTTGTAATTAAATACTGCATACAAAATGTAGATGTAAGAACATATTGGCCACAAAATATGGTGGCAAAGAATATTTAAATTATTGGATTAATATCATGAATATAAAAAAATACTCGGTATGTTTCTTAACCTCTGTACAAAAAGTGAAAATAGAGCAGAAGTGGCAATTGGTAGAAGCAGCAAATTATTAACTATATCAACTGTAATATATTTTATTATATCATTATGACTGGATCAATCTGATAAGTGTTACTTAATTTTTACAATTTGTGTCTATTTCTATTAATGTAGTATGTAATTTCACATGTTTCATCATGAAAAATTAAAAAATTACAAATAATTTTTTTTTTTTGAAATACAATATTGTGTCGTTCCAAATCTGACAAGTGAACATATGCTGTATAATCTGTATCTTTATCATCAACGCTTTTGCTCGTTAGGAACAATGTCCAACGTGATTAGCGGTTTACGAGCCGTACTTATTACATTAGCTGTAACTGTAAATAATTACGATTCTTGCGTTCAGACCTTGCAACCTAATTTCTGGTGTAAGATAGTTTGCTTGCAGATACTCGAACTGTTTCTCAATTGCTTTTTTTCATACACTTGAGATATATGTGTGTTTATATGTGATGTTTGTATGAATTATAATTTGTGACTTTTGCGTATAAGCGGACCATTAAAATCAATTAAATCAACTGGGTTTAGAACATGGATAAATCGAGACTGACAATTCGGTATTTGTCAAAATATATTACATTCCATTTAACAATATCGTGAATTTCACGAACATTAAAAGTTCTGCAACTATTTATAAGTTTTGAGTAATTTTGAAATTTATTCTTAATATTTCAGTTAAAGGATCTCCTTCGATTCATTGGAATTTTATGTGTGTTCATGTTGGGTGTTGGGGTACTGTATCATGCAAATATGTACCCAAAACATGTTGATATGTGGAACCCAGCAGGATGGGAATACTGGAGAATATGGAAAATAATGTATATCCCTTACTGGCAAATGTATGGGGATTCCTTCCTGGATACTTTCAATGGTAATTAAAATGTTATTTAAAGGTATTTGTGTCAAACTTTACAAATTAAATGGACACCAATCTCCATTTAAAAGCAATTAATACCTCAATACCTAATTTGTTGGTTATAGTAAATCTTATACCGAAAATATTACACTGCTTCCTTAGTATACTGTTTAAGATTTAATATAAACTTGAACTAATGCACTCTGTTTTAGTTTTATGGGGAAATACAAAAGTTAACATAACGTCACATTTTAGTACAGCATACCTTTATTTTTCGGTTAAAATTATGAGATGCATACATTTATCATATCAACTGGAGAATACGGAACAAATAGTGAGTTTGCGTATTTGTTTTGAGTAATACGGTCTTAGATAGTGTTCTTTCATGTTATCATTCATAGACTAAATGACTTACAGTATCCTGCCGATCATTGAAAGATCACAATACATACTCATTTACAATGACAGACCAAGAGGTATAATCATTGACACATTTTGTCCACATAGTCGCGAATAATAAATTCTTGAAATCTATATAAATGAATAGTTTCTAAATTAATACATTGATCAATCTCAAATATTTATTAACTTACATATATGTCACATTGTATATTTATTAATATGTCAATCTATCAATGATTTTTTTTCTATCCTTGAGTCGATTTAATTGTTCCTTAGCTGTATTTGCCATAACCTTTCGGAATTTTGAGTCCTCAATGCTCTTCAACTTCGTACTTTATTTGGCCTTTTTTTTCTTTTTTGATTTGAGCGTCACTGATGAGTCTTATTATAAGAAACGCACGTCTGGCGTAAACAATTGTAAACCTGGTTTCTATGATAAGTTTATTGTCAATTTGTCGATATTTCAAAATGTCGATCTGTCAGTGATTCGATCTGTCAATCTATCTATCTGTAAATGTTGATAAATTGCAATGTGTTAATCTGTCAATGTGCCGATCTGTCAATGTATCGATCGTTCAATTTGTCATTGTATCATTCTGTCAATGAGTCGATATGTCAATAATAATGTGTCAATATGTCTGTATGTCAATGCGTCAACATGTCAATAATGTGTCATTGTTTTAATTTTATAATCATTTGTTTTAGCTGTAACTATAAAATGACGTATGAATTCACGAATTGTAATTTTCCGAGGAACTACTTGTTCCGTATACACTAGTTGCGCCAATTTATCATTTTTTTTAACTGTCTTCAACCGTGACTGATTTCAAAACATATATATTTGGGGAATAAAACTATAAACAAATATTGATAAGATGCACTGCTCGGTAGATATTTATAAGACAGCAACCAAACAATATAGAGTAGTAAATGTGGTCATCCAGGTGTAGCTTTGTTTAGTAAAGTCCTTCATTCTGTTTAAAAGAAAAGTGTATATATTATCTATGAACAAATCATTTTAGAAAACAGCACAACGCCATGTACCACAATACAAAGTGAATGGGAAAACAATCCTGATATAGAACGGTGTAATCAGTATGATTGGATACTTGGTGTGATTGCTGCATTATATATGCTGATATCAAACCTTCTCCTCGTCAATCTTGTGATAGCTTTGTTTAGGTTTGTTATTTTTTTTTATAATCTTTTAATGTCATGGGCAATCACAAAGTGCAATCTACCTGAAACACCTTAACAAAAGTGTCGTTATGCAATATATTTCATATAGTTAAGGCGATACCTCTAATGACAAAATATATGTAACCTAAACAGAAATATGTGCACCGGCAGAGTCAAATACGTTAATATATGGAAAGGTATGTTGCTTTTTCGTACGCATTTAATACACAATTATCACAAACTCAACAATTTGTTTTACCGTATGTTTCCATACTCTTGCTACTAAACGAACTGTAGTGCCATCTTTATTCCATATCCTTAAGCAAATATTTATTACTTATTATTTCTAAACCAACCAAATGAAACAAGTGACTGCAATGCAACTGTAGTAAACTGATACACCGAAAAATAACTTCCAACTAGAAGTCAATTATATTTCAATTGATGTGTTTGTAAGTAATGTAGATTACTGTTTGTCTGTTGGTCTTTTTCTTTTTTAGTCATGGCGTTGTCAGTTTATTTTCGACTTATGAGTTTGAATGTCCCTCTGGTATCTTTTGCCTCTCTTTTACAACCACTGCGTCGATGTCTCTGCTGGTGGACATTTTGTCCCAAAGGATATCATCCGCCCAGTAGCATAATATGCATGAATTTACAAAGATCAAACAGAATACTGGCTCGGACGTCGCCGAGTATAAAAAGGTCCGAAACAGGCTTCAGATGAAGACCGTACTGTGACCTATAATGGTTTACTTTTATAAATTTTGACTTGGATGGAGAGTTGTCTCATTGGCACTCATACCACATCTTCTTATATCTATTCACCATGGACACGGTGTCGTCTGATATGGCAGGTGTCCCCTCATTACCAGACATGACAAATATCCCTAACATGACACATTCAGATCATCATACTTATAACAACAGCAATAATCTACGTACGCAGTCGTGTTCAGTTCTTCTACAAGACATTTTGGATTTCGATGACTCTGAACAACGCCATCTCATTTCGAAATGTGAAGCCAATGGCTGCAAAACCTGTGGAATTTTAATAATAGATGCTCAGTTCACTAGCAATTTAACTAAATAGTCTTATTTTACTAGAAGTTACGATGATCTGAATTGTAAATCAAAAATGTCGTCTTAAAGTGTAACCTTTGCGAATTGGTATACGTCGTTGAAACGAAAGGAAGGCTAAATAAATGTATGTGTGGCCTTAAATCAGATATCAACATCAGTGCAAGCGACATTGTTTACCAGCATTTTTACCAGCCTGATCATTCAATCCTTTCTATACAAGTTCGCATCATCGAAAAGATATACCACAGAACTTACAATCTTCATCTTGCAACACCTCTCCGTACACAAAATACACAAAAAGAAGACTACTGGATTCGATAATTGGGAACTGCGACGCCATATGGTTGCAGTGACAACATTGATGGTATAGGTATTCTATCTAGTCCTTCCTGTAGCTTGGTGAATGTGATAAACATTTCAAATCTACTCCTCGACGTAGACGCAGTCATGGTCATCGTCATTATACATCACCTACTATCCATGATGTCTCTATTAATGACCTGCTGCCATTTATACAAAAGCCGTCAGGTATTCGTCACATTCGCACGAAGATTTATTTATTACCCCTTTCGAAACTTCATTCTCTGTACAACTTATGTTTGGAAACCACTGTTTCTAACCCTCATTCGAACCAATACAAACTTACAGCTATCATTTCGGATATTGCAAGTCACAGACTTTTCTAACCAGTTTGCATGGGAAAAGATGAAAAGGAGAAAACATCCTTTCTTAAACTTTCCTTTGCCAACAAAGGTCTCGATGCCATCAATTTTGGCAATATCCTTCATCATAAATCAGTTCACTCAAAAATTCCTCCCTATTTTAAAGATCAACCTGTACCTGTATCATTTATTATACCTATACCAAACCAATTGCAACTAAAATTTTCAATTACAAACGCGTGTTGCTCCAGGATCTCAATATAGAAGACTTCAAGTCTAAACCCCCTGATTGCACCTGTGCTAGTTCCCGATTCATATATAATCCAGCTGGCCACCTTACTACTGGTGACCTAAACATTTTCAAAAGGCCCGACATATCGTGAGTCTGAATCCATCAAATGGAAACACAACTTCAAAATACTGATGGATTCAGTCGAGGATTATGCCGCGCAATCGGTTAAACGCAAAAAAGATGTAGATACTCTTTCCGAATGGATTAAGGCTATGAGGTCGTTGATACAAATTAGAAGTAAGAAACTGAATTGGTCTATTAATACCCGCTACATTAATCTTTAAAGACCAAAATGTTGCAAAACACTTGTCCTCCTCAATGACAAATATGTTGTTGTCCCCGAAGATAAAGCCCCAAACAACATCGTTTTTGTGTGTAAATCACATTACATAAACTGCTTGATAAATGAATTTGGTATTGAAAATTCACTTGGAAACTCAACATATACCCCCAAGACACTTACTAATGAGGAATTCCTGGATAATGATAAGTCTGTTCTATGTTCCTTTGGAATTGCAACCAAAGATAAAGAACTAGATCTTCCTTCACTGTATTGGATACATAAACTACATAAGTGTCCTTACAAACAACAGTATATTGCTGGGTCTTCCACGAAACTTCTTTCTATTTTATTATCATCAATTTTATCAGCAATCAAAGCCGGGCTTCAAAGTTATTTTGCAACTACCTATTTTAGAGGTTGCGAGAATCAGATGTGGATACTAAAAAATTCCAAAGATCTTTTAGAGTACATACAATCTAAGTCTCTTTCATCTTGCAATAGTATGATACATTTGACTTTTCTACACTTTACACAAGTATTCCCCATTCCAAACTAAAAGACAAATTGAAAGAGTTGATCCTTCTTTGTTTCATACCAAAGAATGGCCAACGTAGATACAAGTATCTTGTCGTAGGGAGGGATAAATCCTACTTTTTTTTAAAAATCACTCTGATTCAAACAAAAAATTCTCTGAAACTGACATTATCAAGATGCTTGATTTCTTGATTGACAACATATTTGTTACGTTTGGAGGACGTGTTTTTCAACAAACAATCGGCATTCCCATGGGAACAAAATGTGCCCCTTTTCTTGCCGACTTGTTCCTTTATTCATATGAGAATGACTTCATACAGGAACTTCTTAGGAAAAAATAAAAGAAGTTAACAGTATCCTTTAACTTTACTTTCCGCTATATAGATGATGTTCTCTCACTAAATAATTCAAAATTTGGTGACTATGTTGAACGTATCTATCCCATCGAACTTGAGATAAAGGATACAACAGATACAGTTAAGTCTGCCTCATTTCTTGACTTACATCTAGAAATTGACAATGAAGGTCAGTTGAAAACAAAACTTTACGACAAAAGAGATGATTTTAGCTTCCCAATTGTGAACTTTCCATTTCTATGTAGCAACATTCCAGCAGCGCCTGCATACGTAGTATATATTTCCCAGTTGATACGATATTCCAGAGCTTGTATTTCCTATCATGATTTCCTTGATAGAGGATTGCTGCTCACAAGGAAGCTATAAAACCAAGAGTTCCAAGTGTTGAAGTTGAATCATCCCTTCGTATGTTTCGCGGACGCCATCACGTGTTGGTTTACCGTAATGGAATATCCGTTTCACAGATGATAGCGGATATGTTTCTAATGTCGTAACTACAATCCCGTCCCGTTAACATGAGCAACACGACGGGTGTCACATGTGGAGCATGATCTGCTCACCCTTTCGGAGCACCTCAGATCAGTCCAAGTTTTTGGTGGGGTTCGTTTTGCTCAGTCTTTAGTTTACCATGTTGTGTTTTGTGTACTATTGTTTGTCTGTTTGTCTGTTTGTCTTTTTCTTTTTTAGTCATGGCGTTGTCAGTTTATTTTCGACATATGAGTTTGAATGTCCCTCTGGTATCTTTCGCCTCTCTTTTAAAAAGTTAGTACGACTAATCCATGTGAGCTATCTGTCGTACATATAGCACATTTAACATTTTATATCTCAGGAGTAGCCTACCCTGTATTGGGTCAGATGTGTGTACAATGTATAAATAAAGAGATGTGGAATGATTGCCAGTGCAACAACTATTCATCAAAACAAAAGGATAAATATATAGAACTTTTGTATAATACAGCAGTTTGCCTACCCTTAAATCTCTTTACAAGAACAATACTTTACCTCATAACTATAATTTTTGTATGGCTACAGATGGGTATAGATATTCTCATGTCACTGCAATAACGTCTTTACATAAATTCATCATAGATACAAGCTAAAAATTAACTACGACAGACGCGCGTTTGGTCTACAACAGATTCGAATAAGAAATGATTAAAAGACTAAAATAAAGTAATAAGTTAAAGAGCATTGAGGACCCATCATTCCGAAAGGTTTTGAAAATACAAATAGGAAATATATTCCAGGGCTTAAAACTCCTTTGTATTTCGAAAAATTCAAAGTTGTGTAAACTGTACATTTATAATTATGACCATATTATATACAATTTATGTCAACACAAAAGTGCTTACTACTAGGCTATAGCTAGTAATACTCTTGGGAAAGGGAAGGTCCACCAAGAGTTCCATCGACCCAGTGGTTGTAAATACATACATCATAAATATCTGGCTTATAATTTTAAACGTAAGACGCGTCTTAATTACACATAACTCATCTAAGACGCTCGAATCGAAAAAGCTAAAAAGACCAAATAAAGTCAGAAGTTGAAGAGCTTTGAGGTCCCTAAATTCCGAATGGTTTTGCCAAATACTGCTAAGAAAATCTATTCTAAGGGTAGAAAATCCGTAGTATTTCGAAAAATTCAAGGTTTTGTTAAAACTAAATTTATAATTATGACCCTATCAATGATAAATCATGTTAACACAGAAATTCTGACTACTGGGCTGGTGATACCTTCGGGGAGAAAAACTCCCCAGCAGTGGCATCGACCCACTGGTTATAAAAACAACTCACAATAGATACCAGGCTTAGAGGTTTGTACGCCAGAGATGCGCGTTTTGTCTACAAAAGACTCATTGTAGACGCTCGAATCAAAAAGTTTTAAAAGGCCGAATAAGGTTAGAAGTTGAAGAGCATTGATGACCCAAAATTCCAATAGGTTTTGCCAAACACAGCTAAGGAAGTCCATTCCTTGGGTAGAAAATCCTCAGTATTCTTAATATTCACAGTTTAGTTAACAGTAAATTTATAACTATAACCATATCAATGATAATTCATGTCAACACAGAAGAACTGATTACTGAGCTGGTGATACCTTCGGGAAGGAAACCTCCACTAGCAGTGGCATCGACTGAGTATTAAATAAACTCATCATAACTCATCATAGATACAGGTTTACAATTTCAGATGCCAGACGCGCGTTTTGTCTTAAAAAGACTCATAATTGACGCTCGCATCAAAAAGGCTAAAAAGGCAAAATAAAGTAAAAATTGGAATAGCATTGAGGACCCAAATTTCCGAAAGGTTTTGTCAAATACAGCTTAGGAAATCTATTCCTGGGGTGGAAAATCCTTATTATTTCGAAAAATTGAACGTTTTGTACACAGTTAATTTATAATCAATACCAATAAAAATTCATGCCTAAAGATAATACAACTTATTTAGGATTTAGAATGAGGTAGAAATAGAGAATCAAAATCAATTATGTGTCCTCATATGTAGCTCAAAGATAAAAAGGGTAGTGCTCAATTTTATTTTGAATTATATAGATTTTTAAGTAAATCATCACGCAGAGCAATAGAAAAATAAAATTTAATCGCCTGGAGAAAGGAAATAAATGTCAAAATAATGATTAATAGTATAAAATGTTTAGCAAATTATAGCCATAATATTTGTACAAACCTTCAGCTTGTCCACAACACGTAAATTGAGAAAAATATGAGAATTGAAGTTTTTTTAAAAATGATTGAGAATGAAATAACTCTCTACCCGATTAGCTAAACAAATACTGTACAGTGTATGCATATCAACAAACAAACAAAAACAAAAAGCATTAGAAGACTCCTCAGAATAAAACGAAAATTTTTAACAGACACAATACTCTGGGTAAGTAAATAAAATTAAACGGAAAGCACATTTTACAGAACTGCAATGGTAAACAAATGTAATGCCATTGCGAATCTTGGGGCACTTTAAATGTTTGGCAGTGTAAACTTTGAGTGAGTTTATTACAATGCATTTTCCATAGAGGTTAATTTAACACCAAATATGTAACACAATAGTTTAATAACTAAAATTAACGTAAGTCTTCATGTCATACATGTATTTAAGACATAGCCATGGAAGATGCATGAAGTAATTATGATAACACACACTTTCTGAAGACACGGGAAACGCGGATATATGCGTGACTGTTATTACCTTAAATAATGATTAATATGTTTTCAAGAACTTGAGTGTTTGTCATAGTTAAAGCTATCGCTAATATAGAATTTATTGTGGTTTTGTAGCTATCGATTTGAACGGGTTCAGGAAAATTCAGAGAAACTATGGCGATACCTAAGATATGAAGTCATCATGGATTTCAAATCTAGAATACCTGCTCCTCTTAACCTTATCATCAGACCACTACAATTTCTGTTCAAGCGCTTTAAGACAAAGTGTATAAAACCAGAACCACACAAACCTGGTAGGTCTAATAGCATTTCATAATACGGTTATCACTAATCTTTTAAAATTTAAAAGTATGTATATACAAAAAGGTTTAAACTATTACCATGTTAGAACCTTAGCGGAGTTTTCTACCTCGAAATCTAATTACAAATATCAATAATAGAGGCGACAGATGCAAAGTGGACATTGAAAACACACAAGTCAATATAAATGATGCATGACATTAAGACGAACAAAATAATGAAAGTTAAAGATTAAGCAACACAAACCCATCCAAAAACTGGGGATGATCCAATGTGCTCCGGATTGGTACGCTGATTCTGCTCCAATAGTGCCACCCGTCATGTTTCTCATGGTTAGTGCAAATTTGGTGATGGGTCTCATTCGGTGATGTCACCAATAAAAGCTATAAGTAATCAATCTTTCATAAAACCTCCTTCCTGCGCTGGTATTCAAATAGAGTGGATATAAGTAATTATAGGCAACCGTACGGCCTTCAACAATGAGATAAAACCATACCGTATAGTTGACTATAAAAGTCCCTACCAAAAAAATGTGAGTCAATTTAAACGAGAAAACTAAGAGCCTAGTCTTTACCAAAATAATTTACGAAAACAAATATAACAGACATGAACCAACGACAACCACTGAAGAACAGGCTCTTAGCTTGGGACTGGCACAAAACAACTAACATAAAGCCAACAGATACAAAGCACCGAAATAAGAGAAGTCGCAGTTACTAAAAAAGTAAAATAACAAAAATACCGAACTCGAGGAAAATTCAAAACGGAAAGTTCCATATCAAATGGCAAAATCAACAGTTCAAACACATCACACGAATGGAATACAACTGTCATATTCCTGACTTCCTACAGGCGTTTCCTTTAGTAGAAAATGGTGGATAAAATCTGGTTGCATAGCTAGCTAAACCTCTCACTTGTGTGACAGTAGCACAGAATTCGCACTGAAAACTTGTTCAAAGACAATTACAACTTGTAAATAAATCATGTTCTGCCAGACTTAAATATCAAACAGTACACATCCAACGGATTAAGTGTAAAGACGTCATCAACAGTTTCAGAACCGCATAACCTTGTGCAACGCCAAAAAAATATCAGCAGTATCGACTTAGATAATGAGTTCGAATAACTGTAAATATATAACAAAAAATATTTAGTTATGTTTAAATTGTTCAAAAACAAAATCAATGGTAGTGCGAATAAGAACTTGTTTGTTATAATTTGCAAATATACAACAGGGTAAGTATCTCAATAATTAGACATTGCTTTTAGATTTTGAGAATATTATTTGTATTTAGCATTTTTTGGAAAAACAAGTCTTGCCTGCATTTTCGTCCGATGAAGTACAATTGCACTATAATGAGCGTGAAATGATTTCGAACTTTAAACCAATATAAGAAAAAGTCTTAGAAACAATTTTTTTTTAAAAGCAGAGCCTCTTTCAATTTAACATAAAATGGCTGGTCTAACTAATGACTATTTTACATTGTATGTTAGACCGAAAAATATGCTGTAGGCTTATTTATCTATTTGTCTAAGCAAAATAGACAATCTTCACACATATGTACATGAAATCGAAAGAGAAAGGGAGTAGTATCCCAGAGAAAAAAACTTTCCTAGCAACCATTGCGAAAATATCGATCTAAAGATTTATATGTGAAGAAAGTTATACTGAAGCATGATGTGTTAAACTATCATTCCTTTGAACTGAACATGTACAAAAAAATATATAAAACAACTACAATTTTCATAATCTAATCATTATTATTTTCCATTTAGATAGCAGATTATTGGATCGAATAAATACACTTCAATCTATACATGCAATTAACTGTGCGAATAATATTTTGAGTTAAAAATAGATGCCTGAAAAGGATATTATTAATCACTTTTATATATATTACGCTGATATGGAGAAAAAGACCAACACATACTTTTTATAGATTTTAGCAATACGTTTTATCTATTTGTTTCTGCGTAGGTACAATGACAATGTAGTAGTAGTACTTTTTAGAATAGCTGTATTTTCTACTTCACACTTTTTAATACTAGATGAATGTTATAAGTTATCGCTATCAATTTATAATTTGCATAAGATATGTATGCTTTCTTATAACTTTTGATTATGTGATAATTTTTTTTCCTTTTTTAACTCCCTTCTTGTGTCCACCGCTGATATGATTTACCTGATAGTCTGATTAATTGAGGACAGCATAACGTCTAAAAAACTTACATTTCAGGAGCATAACTGTTAAATCGAATGTTTAACATGCATATCCATAATGATCCATATATAAGATGTGGTAACTCTCCCTCGGGCTCAATATCCTGACCAAAACATTGTTTTCTCTCCGGTGTCACTTGAATGGGAAATAAGCAGCTAAGACATACTTCAGTCTTTCACTTTTATTGTTGGGGACAGTCACTAAATATCCCATCCGAGGGAAACAGAATATCGCGGAACCACCGAGGTACAGTTGGAACCTGCTCTCTCAAACTCTATCAAAAATTGTCAGTAAAACTGTTATAGAAAAGTCTGTAAAATAATTTGCCGCCAATGTTAGAACAATTTCTGACAGAGGTAGCTCTACCGGCTAGAATAGTTTTGGACGATTCTAACCTTTAAAGATATTAATATAGCAGGATACCTTGTTCGTGAAAGCTGTAGCAATAAGGTAACTGTAACATATTTCGACTAATAAATTAATTATCATTGTTAAAAAAAACCTGTTTTGGACAGATCTTTACCTAGAATAGTTTAAAACATATATATCTTACTTTTAACATAGTTTTAGACAGTTCTACTGTATACATCGTAACTGATTTTGCTATCTTTACACAAGAACTGTTTATGACATGTCTTCTCTGAACGGATCCTGACAGTTCTATCCCTCCAACAGTTTTGGACAGCTCTTATCAATATATCTAATATTTTTTTATATTCATTTATTTTAACTTTATATACTATTAATTCAATTAATTTATTTATTTTCTTGTTGTACTTATCCAATTATTCATAGCATTGCGGTCAAAAAAGTAAATATAAAGAGAGTTAAGTTCTGGCGCCTTTAACATACAAGTATAACGAATTGAACGAATGATGTTACCGTATTTGTCCTCAACCTTACTTCTTAACGAACCACAGGCCTTCATTAATCTATATGTCTAAGCAAATGTTATTAGAATCTACCAACCAAAATGATACAAATTTTATTGGAGTGATTACAATGCAACTGTGGTAAACTATTAAACCGCAAAAACTACTAATCAGAATTTGATTATATTTATCTTTACCCGAAATGTAAATATATCAATGTTTGGTACGACTCATTCATGAGAGCAATCTGTCGAATATGTAGAACATTTTACATTTTCGTTTTTCACATCAGGTGCAGTTTATCAAGTATTGGTTCAGACTTCCGAACGAAATATAAATAAAGAGATAAGGAATAATTGCCAGAGAGATAATTATTTATAATTCAAAAAGGACAAGTCTACACCAGAATTTAACTTTGCAGTTTTACCGTAAACCAGTTTTGGACAGTTCTTTATAGGACTGAATCTGTCAGTTCAACCCTAGAACTGGTTCTTAAGGTTTTACCCTTAATAAAATGAGAAGTGGTATGACTGCATATTGAGACAAATATCCATTAAAGACCAATATTGGTAGCAGTTAAGTCACGATACATCCTTCAACAATGACCGAACCCTTACCTAATAGCCAGTCCACGAAATGACAACATGTAAATATAATTCTAACAAGAAATTTCATCCCTGCTATTTTTGACCAATTTTCTGGCAGTTTCTCGCAGCAATGATAATTTGGAAAAGTACCTAGCTACCATATATGTTTTTAACGTTATCACTAACGGCACCTGAACTCCGTAGGGTCATATCACTGTTTTACCATTTATTCCTAATAACACAGTGAATTAGTTGTACGGTGCTCCTATGTTTTTATATATATTCAACTTTGTAATAACTATTTATAACTATTTTTTATTATTGTTGGTTTTTGTTTAACGTTATATAGCTATAGTAAGTTATCCATGCTTTTGTGCAACTGCATTTTGTTTTACTTGGTAACATTGGAAATGGTTTGTTTTTCCATTTTCCATTTTTATGTTTTATTATTCTATTGTTTCTTTTTCTACATATTAATGGTCGACGATAACTAATACTTTTTATTGATAAATGATTAAATGGTAATATAATCTAAAGCTATTCATCGAAAAGGACTAAAATACTGCATTTGATTCAATTGGGTTGTGTTTTCGCCAAATATTTCGGGAAAGGCTGGCAAAACATACCATTTGTATTAATTGTGCACATTTTCATGAGTGTACAACACTATTCCATTTATTTTGTTTTAAAAAGAAAAATAAGTTTAAAAAGAAATGTTTAAGATTCGTGAAAATCGTGTGATGTGGTGAGCATGGTGATTGTTTTTTCAATTTATATTTATTTTAAGTTTGAAAATTGATTATAAACAAACAAATAAGTTTGATTTAAATAATTTTTTTTATGAACAGGTTAAAAAGAAGGCAACAACAGAAAAATGTTTAACTCTCGTAAATCTTTATTGAATTTTACAAACCATATGAAGGCTGTAAGGCTGTGTGAATCCTATGAACCGATCTTTAACTCTCGTAAATCTTTTTTGGAATATACAAATACAAACCAAATGAAACCTGTTTGAATTTCACAAATAGAGGCGAGACCGGTGTTACTGCAAATAGACACCTCCTTCTTTGCATGCATAACTCACATTTAGAAATTTTTCTAAATTGCCTGATTCATACAAAGACTGGCATACCTCACATTTAGAATCAATACTTAATAAAATCAAATGTCGCGATATGAATAAGGACACAACCATGGCCGAACGAACTAAATATATCACTCGTTAAGAAATTTGTCAGTTTATTGATCATTAGTAGATCATAATAATCAATTATCATGTAATCAATAATAGTTGAATTGAATTTTTAGCGAGTTGACCCCCGTATGGTCAAATCTATTTTTCCTATTTTATCCTTATGACACAATGAATTGTGCGGTGACTCCTTTGGTATTATATATATTACAATTTAGAGTTAATTCCTTAATAATTTTTTTATTGTTTTGTTTGTTTAAATATCATTTATATATAGTAAGTTATCAATATGTTTGTTCAACTATATTTTATACTCTTGAATATGTAGATAGTCACATGGGATATCCTTTGACATTGACATTGGCAAAGCTGATTTTTATAAGTCAATGTATTGTATAATTCATGTGTTATATAAATTGCAAGTGTAATCAATATTTCTTTTATGTAAGGGTTAATATTTTTCAATTTTTTAATATTCATGATCATGATGTTTACTCTTTTTTTAAATATTCATGTTTATAGAGTTTGCAATGATTTCAATACGTCGACGATAACTAACATTTACAATTGATGAATGAATGAATGGTAATAAAACCAAAGGTTATTCACTGCAAAATACTCCATACTTTGATTCAATTGGGTTGTATTTTCGCAAAAAAGTAGAAGAGCCGTGGAAAATATATCATATTTATTAATTGTGCAACTGTAATATATGACCAACACTATTTTATTCATTTTGAATTTGAAAATGTTAGTTTAACAAAATGTCATCTAACGTTTTAACATTCCTGTAGATCTTGTGATGTGGTGAAGCTTGGTGATTATTTAGTTTTCAGTTAACATTTACTTCCATCTAGAACATTGATTTTAAACAAATGAAAATAAATTGATATAAAGCATTATTTTCATGAACATGTAAATAGGAGGCAACAATAGATTACCAATGTTTAACTCTCGTAAATATTTTATGAATAAACAAACAAACTGAAAGCTGTGTGAATCTCGTGAACTCAAAATAGATGCGTGACCTGTGATTCGACAGGGTTAGCACCTCCTGTTGTGCATGTATCATTCACCTTACAAATCCAGACTCATTATAAATGTCGCAATATGGAAAATGGACACATTCATGGTACTGATATGATTAAGAACAAACCTTTTTAAGATTGTCCGTTAATACATGTTGAAACTATAAGAAACAAAGGTTTAAACTTCCTCAGGCAAAGTTGACCGTAGATGGATTTGGCTATTTTCTTTAGGTCCTTTTTGTTAATAAAGCTCTTCAACTGTTTCGGGTCTTATTCATCCTTGTCTTACAAATATTTGGATTTGAGCGTTCCTGATGAAGGTAAATCCAGATAAGCGCTTCGGACGCATGAAATTTGTATAAACGTGTTATTTTAATTTTTTCATGGCCGAACATACAATTAAATATCTCACTCGTAAGGTAACTTCACAATACAATGTTAATATTTTGATCATAATAATCAAATATCATCCACATCTCACGTAACTTAATGAATCTATATAAAAGAGAAACTCTCTACCGAAGAACAAATGATGTAATTGTAAGCAATAAAGGTCATCCCACGGTTTTAAGAATAAGGAAAAACCCAACCCGTATAGTACGCTATACATGGCACCTAGCTGACAAAATGTAAATTGTAAGAACCAATAGCTTGATTTGTGTACAAACCACTTATGTTTTTTTTTCGTTGAAAATACATACGAATGAAATATGTGTACATTTAAAGAAATCGGATTTTATAGAAGAAATAATGTGTTAAGCTTCACCATCACACAAAAACCCGCAATTGATTTTTGAAAAGCAACCTTGTACTACTTCAAGTTTTAATATATCATAGCTCGTCGTCGGAGTAAACAACCTCTCTCCTTATTGAAACAAAACTAAATTCTCACAAATGCAAAACAAACGATAATGAAATAAACCTTCACATCAGCATCTCCATTTATGCAAATACGAGACAGACCAAAGTCAGTATTAACCCAAAAAAAAAGTCATCCGGAGGTAACCATAAAACCTCAAAGGATGACCACGTGACTACGTTGTGTGGTAAAATGACAACTTATCAATAAATTGAACAAACATTTATGTTGTAAAATTAATAGAAACATAAACATGAAGAGCAAGAGATGACTGACAATAATCGGGACATTTAACTGCACCAAAGGTATTCATATAGTCCGAGTAAAAATACTATGTATGTACGCAACATCGAGAACGATGAGTGTAAACACTCAGTTTAAAAGAAGTCCGAGTCCGATGTCAGAATAGGTAACAAAAGAAATACGATCTTCTTTTAACTGTAAATCAAATGAATATAACATTAAACATTTATGATGAAATTCATTGATAAAATATTTCTATATAGATTGTATTCTAAAAGCTGAGCTTGATTGCATTACAGTTTATATGCTATACGAGTTCAAATACAAAAGACACTTCCTGGCAAAATCTTCTATATCAGTTGAAATACAGTAACTTATAGTGTTTTTATTCATTTTATCATTAAACAATTTATAGGCCTATGGGGTCACCGATTTTTTGTATACAACATACATCATTGAAATGCATTTTTCAATAAAGAGTATGAAAGATAGTAAAATTACGATGATAAAATTCCGATGCGCAATGCACGCTTATTTTTCACAGTTTATTCAATACAGTGCATGATATCACGACCTTGTGCAACGCCAAAATATAAGTAGGACCTTTTGTGTTTTCATTTCCTACATAGTTTGAATATATAAAATTGAGAATGGAAATGGGGAATGTGTGAAAGAGACAACAACCCGACCAAAGAGCAGGAAATAGCCCAAGGCCACCAATAGGTCTTCAACACAGCGAGAAAATCCCGCACCCGGCGGCGGCTTCAGCTGGCCCCTTAACAAAAATGTGTACTAGTTCAGTTAAATGGACGACACACTAAACTAGAAAACAAATAAGTAAACTAATATTAAAAAACATACAAGACTAACAAAGGCCAGAGGCTCCTGACTTGGGACAGGCGCAAAAATGCGGCGGGGTTAAACGTGTTTTGTGAGATCTCAACCCTTCCCCTACACCTCTAGCCAATATGGAATAAACAAACACACAGCAATACGCACAGTAACACTCAGTTTAAAAGAAGTCCGAGTCCGATGTCAGAATAGGTAACAAAAGAAACTAAGCAAAATGACAAAGATACATAAATTAACAAAGGACTACTAGCAGTTACTGACATGTCAGCTCCAGACCTCAATAAAACTGATTGAAAGATAATGTCTTCATCATATGAATATATAGTTTAAATGATACTTGTTAATTAGTGGGAAGATAATGAATATTGATGACAGATAGGTGTCCTATGGCAAGTAAAATGCATTTCAATATATCGAACAAGAACATAATGCTGCGATATGAATTAAACCCGGCTTTGTACTACACCGACATGTTGATTTGGATTTTTAACGTGCTAGTTTAACTGCTTTAACTGTCACAAGGTAACAGTCTGCAAAACGGCCGACATGTCGACCTATCCGGACACAATATTCTGACTCCGGGCCGATAAGTCTTTGCTCTTATTACTCCAAGGCGATACTGTTGTCGAGTCATTAAAGATGGCATTGTTTGGAAATTAAATTGGTTCACCCATATGGTCTTTGCATTTGAAATAAAAACGTTTATTCTAAAACCAGTTGTTGGCATAATAGATGCTTAAACTTAATATCATTCAAGGTAAGTTAGTATTGGTGATAAAAAGAAATAATCACCCCTACATTGTTTTGTGTTCTAAAAGTTTAATTTAGCTTTACAATGCCTTTATTCCAAAATATAGAATAATGCTATTTTTATACAAGTACCAATGCAAATTTCAAAGGAAATGTATATTTAAAATCTATACATCCTTAGATATACAGACACTTTATAAAAATTCTTGTTATTGCATTGTTAAGGACATTTTTAGAATAGATTCATTATCATATGTCCGTGTTTTTCGAGAGCAGTGCGGGATTTTTGGGTGCAGTTCCGGTTTTGATCGAGTAATTAAACAAAATTTCAGTGGCTTAAAATGTTATATGACAGTGCAATTACGTTTAAAAACAATGAAAAGGTTAAAATAAAGTACTTTTCAAAGCATGAAACTAATGCATTTAACCAGTTTGATAATACTGTAGTACGTAACACGTACATTCGTAAAAAGCATTGTATATTTGTATATATTATTGTTTGCCACATCTTAAATTGCATGGACACCGGCATGGTATATTAGGATAGATCAAACATATCCACGTCCATGTAAATATGGTGGAACTATTTAACAAGTCAACGCCAAGGTACACATGCTGTACCGATCCAAACATACGTATATCGATGTCGATTCAACCAAATACGAATATCATACAGTAAATATTCGTGTTGTAAACAATATTAATGTGAGCACATATATATATAAAAAGAAAAGGATATGTGGTATGAATGCCAATGAGACAACTATCCACAAGAGTTCAAATGACAAAGATAAAAGTAGATATAGGTCACTGTACGGTCTTCAACAATGAGAAAATCCTATACCTTATAGTCAGCTATAACAGAATCCAACATGAAAAATTGAAACCATTAAAACGAGAAAACTAACGACCTAAGTTGTACAATACAAAGTACGAAAAAAATAAATATGACGGACATGAACCAACGGCATATTAAAGCTTATAGATTATTTATGTCATTGTTTATTATATATTCCATTCAATTCAAAATGTATTGTCAATAGGAAATAGTACACGTGGACTTATTGTATTTTTGTTTTTTTGGGGGATCAAGTGAAAAGATTAAGATAATATGTGTAGTATTTAGATTTCAACTGCAATAAAACAGGATTATCTTTGCGAGTTATGAACTTTGAATTTTGAATTTTGAATTCTGAATTTTGAATTTTGAATTCTGAATTTTGAATTTTGAATTCTGAATTCTGAATTATGAATGATCCTTCTCGGTTTTCGAAGATTATGAGTCCCCTGTTCACGGTTCTAAAGACAGTTTTACAAAGAATCCAGTAATTTCTCAACTATCGTAAAACTGCCAGGTTATGGTAAATTGTTTTCAGAATAGAAAATTAATATTAAATTGAAAAGGGTTAAATTTGATCAACATAGTAATATGTTTGTTACTTTTTAGAAATATATAATATTATTGCCCTTCGCTAAATTACAGTTACAAACTAGAAAAACAATGATTTTTTTAAGCCCTAGAATGACTTATTTCTTATTCAAATTCTCTTTGAAAAACCTGGACCGTTTGTTTAAAAACCCGTACATTTTAAATGTTGCTCTCGAAAAAACACGGACCATGTAAAACATTGAATTTTCAGTGAACTACAAGGAAATTGTGCGTCGCTTGTCCTTTAAAATTGTTTAGTATTCAGAATAAGATGAAGTCATGAATAAAACTATTATATACGTGAAATCAGTAAATTGATCTGATCGCATGTAATATCACTCGAAAAAACCTGATCTACACTCGAAAAAAGTGGACCGATTTACTCGGAAAAAAACACGATCTCCGACGGACACTATACCTACCGTGTTAAAACTAAAAGAATCATACTTAACAAACTACAAAAAAATGTTCCATACATGTCCGTTTTTCAGACGTATTTGTCTAAGTTAAACGTCAAACATTTTATGAAAACTATTTGTGAGCAATGAAGTTAACTTACACATAAAGACTCTACCTAGAACCCATTCATCATTTTAATTAAAGACAAATTTGTATTGTTTCATAGATCAAACTTATTCGTTCAGTGTATATTTACTTGTTTGTGAATATGTCTTTTAGATCGAGTTAAGCCATTTCAATTGATGTTTTATTGTGTGTCTTTATATGTTGTAATGTTACACC